AGGAGACCATATTGCGAGATTGTCTCAGGCGGTTTGCTTGTTTCGGCGAGCATACTCGTCTGCGTTCAGGGTGCGAAGTGACGAGGTAACGCTTCTGGGGTGCCGGGTGCGTTATACTTTCGCCGGAGAGGGGCGAGGGGTTCTTCATTAGCTTATTGCGGATAGTCATGCACATTCACGCCCACGGCGCGGGGGGCGCCATCGGCCAAGACGGCGGTCTCGAGGCTGCCGAGGGACCCTCCGAGGCACCTCGGAACACAGGATGGCGGCCAGGGCCCTGGCAGCTTCTCCAACGCCGTGGGCTGCTGTCCTCGGCGGCGGATCGAGAGGTCCTGCCCCGCCCGAGCCCGAGACTGCTGCGCAACACCCACGGACTCGCGAGGTCGTTGTCCTCCTCCTCCTCCTCCTCCTCCTCCTCCTCCTCCTCCTCCTCCTCCTCCTCCTCCTCCTCCTCCTCCTCCTCCTCCTCCTCCTCGCCGCGACCATCCCTCCGCGGCGCCGATCTCCTCCCCGGCGCCGATCTCGCCTGAATCAAACGCCCGCGAATGCCACCCACAAATGTACACGAGAGTAATTTCTGCTGGTTTCGAGGCTTCTGCTTTCGAGGTCCGGGAACCCGTTCTCCCAGCGACCCTTCTCCCAGCAGTTCTTACTTCGACTGATCTTCACCACAACGACCAGAGGATAGTTCTGCCGAGGATAGTTTCTGCCGTCGAGGGCGTTCCCACAGTGGACCTGCCACTTAAATCGTGGTGGGCCAAAGCACGAAGGCCTGGGGTCTCGGACGGGTCGGGTTATGCCGTCCTTCTGAAGCTTGGCTCCAACATCCTATCGCCCCCTCAATTGGCCGTACCCTTGAAGTATCACGTTTTGCCTGCTTCGTCCTCATCAAACCCGTCGTCATCGTAGAAGGCCTCGTCCCGTTCGCCACCGGCGCCACCGACCTCCGACCGACAAGAGTGCTGGACAAGAAAAAAGAGGCTGAAAACAAGCCCGCCGCTCCTAGCCGGGCCAGAGCTCCCAGTCATCGATGCGATCATGTTCGCACCCATCGTCCTGCTGGGGAACATCCGCTCTGAGCCCCCAGCATCCCTGTTCCTCAAAGCCCAAACGACGTGATGGTAGTCGAGTCTGCCCTGTGTGAGGGTAAGTCGGTTCTGCACTCCCTGCCAGGTCAGGTCCGCTCCATCTTCAAGAGGGAATCCTCTGAGCTCCCTTGGCATCCTAAGATTATTGAAGTCCGCCTCGAGTAGTTGCGACTCGCGACGCGGCACAGACTGCCTCGAAGAATGCCTTGCGTCGCGATCGCCGCAAGCCGTCACCGTCCCATTCTCCCGCCATGAAGTCCATGCGCCCCAGCACGGTGTCGGTCCAGACGTCACGACACAGAGCCCAGTCCGCCGGATCCTTGAACTTTGGCTGAAACGCCACATCGAACAACTGGAGACACTTCTGTGACCTCCGCCATGTTGTAACGTCAGTGTCAATGCTCCATTGGGCGCCCGAACTATCTGGGGTAACTCGGGTCCGGCGTAAGTCGGGTTCGGAATCCCGAAAAGCGAACCCGAGTTAGCCCTGACCCGAGTTACCCCTGATGATTCGGGGCTCTGACTCCACCTTCTCCAGGCCTTCTCCCAAGGCTGGCAGTGACTCCGCCAGGCCGTGCAGGCGGGTCCTTGCAGTCCCTGGGGCTGCCGGAGCCGCCGCCGCTGAAGCCGTGGCCCCAGCTGTGCTCCCCTGCGGCCTCTCGCGCCGCGGGAGCGTCCCCTGCGACGCACGCCCGAGCCAGCCGCGGCCTCCTTCTTCGGGCCCTCCGCCCAAGGGTCGGCGCTCGTCCACTCCTCCCACTGGCGCCTTGGGCTGCTTCCCGCTCTGGCCAGACGATGCCCTCGTAATTAGTCTCGGGCACGACTTCACACGAGTCTCGGCCAACTCCTGCCTGGATAGCCCCGCGGTCGCCCCGTCTCTCGACGCTCGCTGAAGCGGCCGCCCCGCTGCCTGCACTAGCGCAGAACCCTCGCCGCGCACCGCCATGCACGCCAAGTGTCCGGCTTCCTTTTGAGCAGGGACCGACCGTCCCGGCGCCTGTAAGCTTACCACGACATGTTCTTAGAACCCAACAATGTTCAAATAACAAAAACAATGTTTTTAGAACATACAGCCGATGTGTTCAAGCAAGACAGCCCCAGCCAGAAATGCTCTAAGAAAGTCTCGTGCAAATCACAGGAGGTTCTTAACACATCCTCTGGTGGGCCTCTAGGCGAGCCAGGACGCTTCGCCACTGCTCGAACGGTCCTTCTGCTGTCCGTCGCTTGCGGCGGGCCCCGCCGTGGATCCCACACTGCCTCGCTCGCTGTGAGAGGGCCTCGCCCGGGGCGCTCGACGGCCCTAAAACAGGGCTAGGATCGGGATAAATCGCTCCAGAGCGTTCCGGAGCGCTCTCAGAGCGTTCCGGAACGCTCTGGAGCGGCCGCGGCGCCCAATACATCCTCCAAACCCGCCGATTCTCAGAGACTTCGAGTTATCCCGATCCGATTTTGTCCCGATCTTCGCGTCGTTTTAGGCCCAACAGCCGCCAACCCGCCAAGCACTGCGCCTGCCGGCTGCCGCACGCAGCCGGCGCCCCGGGGCCCGCGAGCGGGCAACCCCGCTCGGGCAGCCAACCGTGGCCAGCAGGAGGCGGGGCACGGTCTTCCGCGAGACGGCAGAGCGACTTCACGCGGTGGCTCACGCGAGCCGGCAGCCCGCCACGCTGCATCGGAAACGGGGGCGTTCACGGCGCGGACTCACGCGGGCAGCTTATGCGCCAACGTCGACGAAGACGCCACATTTTCCGTCGTTCATATTTGTGCCCTGAAGTCATCACGAGTTACGCAGCGTGCAGCCTGGGCTCGGACAGCACCTGCTATGCCGAGCACGAAGCCTTGGCTCGGACGCGATTCGCGGAACCTACGGGTAAAATTCGTTCACCTGCTACAGTGGTGCAAGTTGGCTTTTTCACAGCCAAACGCAGCGCTACCGACTTGTGCGAGCGACGAGTCCGCGACAAAAAAATACAGCCTCGAGTTTCCCCACTTGTCTGAACGGACCGATTCTTCTGCTGGAGCTCGGGATCTGGAGGCCCCAAGGCAGGCCGCAGAAGGTCCAAGAGGGCCGCGAGAGAGCCCCTCAGTGGGCATGACAGAGCCCCGAAAAGGTTCACAGTACTTCGAGACTGCCCAACACTGGCGGCGCGCAAAGGGGGCAGGGGGAAGGGAGAACGCTTCTTAGAAGGAGGTTGCTTTTTAGGAGGCTCTGGCCGCACATCAAGAGACAAGGCCTGCGCTTTCTAAGAAGTGGAGTGCTTCTGAGAAGCCTTCCCCCGTCCCCCATACCCTCAGGTCGGGCCTTTCCTCCTACAGGCGGATTCTGGACGAAAAATTAGAAATACTTGAACAATGAACCAAATCGCCCAATTTTTTTTACTATTTGTCGATTTTCCCCCTGTAGAGGGCCGTGCCCGACTGAACCATACCCCCCTCTGCGCGTGGCCGACAGCAGGCCCAACGATGCCGGAAGCAATGCACAAGAGGCTCCGACAGAGGCCCGGAGGGGCGCGACGCAAGGCCCCAGCGGCAGCGAGCAGCGGCAGCACGGCGGCAAACACCAGCAGCTGGGGATACGAAGCAGCAAGCAAGGGCGCGAAATCGCCCGCGCTTGCTTGCCGTCGCCGGGACATCCGTTCCCAGATGCACTATTTGGTTCCGTGCGCGTTTTCATTCAAGGTGATCCAAGATGCTCCAGGATGGTCCAGCTTTTTAAGCGCTGGCCTCTCCGAGAAAAAAACACACGCACGAGCGATGCCAAGAAACTCGGGGATCGAACACGGAACATCGCCTGCGCTTATGGACGACCGTCCAGGTCTTCCCAGCGGCTTAACATGCACTATTCCTACAACAACAAATTCTGCGAGCAACAACCGTGTTTCGGGAGCGGCCAAGAAGGGGGTGTCCAAGAGGGGGGGGTGCAAATCATGACCGGCGGCGCGTGCGCGGCCCAGCGTGGGGGCCAGGGACGTAATGAAATAAGAAGAGGCGCCATGAAATCTGGGGAAATATCATGGCCCACGCGATGATATCCACCCCCCTAGTCATCACCCCCTCTTTTCCGCCCCCGAGTGTTCTCAGAACGCTGAGACAACTGATCCAAACAGGGCGGCCTCGGCCAGACATGCTCTCAAAACACTTCGCGCAGACCACAATAAACCTCTCCGAGAACCTCACCTCGGGAGCCCCTGGGCCCTCCCAGGCTGCCGCCCCAGGCTCCCGGCTTGAGCAGAGGACTCCCAGGCAGGGTCGGAGCAGCTGGGCTCGGGGGACCGCGCCGCATCGCCGATGCATCGCCGATGCATCGGCGATGCACGGGCGATGCACCGACGACGCATCGATGACGTCGGCGATGCATCGGCGACGTCGACGTGAAGCACTTCGGGCCCCACATCGAGCCGCATCGGCGATGCATCGGCGATGCGGCGCAGACCTCCGACCAAATCTGCTCGGACCCCATCTGGGAGGCCTAGAACCCCAGGCTGCTGCTTGAGCCCTCCCTGAGATCCGACGTCTCGAAAAAATTGAGACATGGCCAAGAATCACGACTGGAACCCCGCACCCCACCTCTCTGCGCCACTCTTCGAGCCGGCTCGATCTGCGAGGGTCCCGGGGCCCGAACTTGTGCGCAGACGCCCGGCCCGAAAAAATTGAATCGCCAGGATGAAGTCGGGCGTGTCCCCCTAAAGGGATTCGACGATATATATATATATATATATATATATATATTAGAAAAATATATCCCCCAAAATGCTGCAAAAAGGCCAACAAATACTAACAAAAAAAATCCCCAGACTATTTCTGGACCATGTTTGAATATTCCTCCTGTAGAGGGACGGGCCCGACTTCACGCCAGAATCTCAGGGCTCCCAGGCTGCCGCCCGCCCGAGCGGACACCGCGACCGCGGGGCGGGCCTTGTCCGGCGCCGCCTCGCCGGCGGCCAGGTCCACCACGTCCGGCGCGGGCCCGCCGGGCTGCCCGCCCGGCCCCTGCGGCGGGCCCGCCGTGCGCCGCCGCTGGGCGTCGGTTCTGTCGCCGCTGGCCGTCGCCGCGCCCGCTGGTCGTCTTCTTCGAGAAGGGCTCCCAACTTCGCGCTTCGCGCTGCGCGAAGCGCGAGGTGCGAAGGACTTCGCGCTCTCGTCCCGCCTCCCGGTGGAGAAGTGGCGGGTGAAGAGGAATCGGAACCGAACCGCGACGCGCGAAGCGCGAATAACTTCGGGCCCTCGAGGGCGCCCTTGCTTGTTCGACGCCGCGGGTCGTCGTCCGTCGGTCGTTGTCGCGGGCCGCCGACGTCGTCGTCGTCGTCGTCGTCGGCCATCCACGACGTGGTCAACTGCCGCCAGTCGTCGACAGCCATCGAGCAGCGTCGTCGTCGTCGTCGATCGAGGATTGTCGCTGCCGATGGTCGACACTCGTCGCCCCTCTTCGTAGCTGTTTGTCGTCATCGTCGATCGTCGTCGTCGTCATCATCGGACCATCTCCGTTATCGTTATCATTTTCGTCGTCAAAAATCGATCGTTGCTGTCAATCGTCGATGACCGTCGGTCATCGTCAGCTGTCCACCGTCGATTTTTAGTACCTGCCATCATGGTGGGAGGATGGGAAGAGGAAGCAGGGGGAGGGGGGAGAGAGGGCGGGGGGTTACTGGGAGCACCGCCGAGGGGACGCGCTGTGGAAGGAGACGAAGACAAGGAGGAGGAGGAGAGAAGGATGAGGGAGGAGGGTGGGGGAAGCGGGCGCCATTGTCATTAGCATGACGTCGCCGAGAGGAGGCGGGGGAGGGAGGAGGCGGAACTGAGGATTTCCAGGATTTCCGCCATCACGTCGGCAGTGGGCGACTGACACGGTGGAGGTATTCGCGCCGTGCCCTGGAACAGATGGGCGCGGCACGGATGCTGATCACTGAGCTGGGCCCGGCTGGCATATCCGCAGGAGCCGCAAAACAGCAAACCAAGGCCCTTGTACAGCCGAAGGGCGGCGGCCTCGGATGGTCGCCGAAAGAAGAGGGGTGGCGGCAGCGGCGCGCCTCCGCCTCCTGCCGGGCCGTGGCGAGGATGGCCTGGGGGCGCGGGTCGCAACAGGGCGGCTCTGGCCAATTCGACCCCGAGTCCCCTCTCGGCCTCGGAAATGATGGTGATGATGCTGATGATGATGATGGTGGTGGTGGGGGGGGATGGTGATGATGGTGATGGCGATGCTGATAGTAATGATGATGCTGGTGGGTGCGATGGTGATGGTAATGCTGATGGAATAGATTATGATGGTGATCGGCCGTACCTGGGGGGCAACGGTCCGGCCGCACGCTGAGTTGTAAGTGGCGTGCACGGCAGCTGTTACATCGGCGATTTGACCAGCAGGGTTCGCAACGGTTCCGTGAACAAGCGTCGCCTTGAGCTTATGATGGGCGTGAAAAGCGGTCGCGCCCAGTTGCGCGGCGGCACTGTGGGAGAGTGCGCACGATGCGCAATTGCATTCGTTGTCGGCGCCAGGGCGGAGTGTCAAACGAGGTGAGAGAGGCAAGGCCAGGAGTTCAGGGCAGGATGAGTAGTGTGGAAATGTGTCGAGCTGCTCTCTGAAGCCACAAATGTGCGATGCCGCCCCAGCGACATGCATGCAATGTGATGTTGTCCACCCTCCTGCGAAGGTCTTGTGCAGGCTCCACAGACATGCAGGCTTAATCGCGCGGATCACCGCGCCGCATTCCCCCCGCCGCTCACCCGCCGCCCCGCTATTCGATGCAGATATGCTCCATGCAGACAAACGCATAGCGATAGCATTCGCAAATGCAAACGGAAAAAGTGTGACGCGCAGCGAGGAAGGGAAAATACGCTGGACCTTCCCCCTGCGGCCCTCTCCCGCTGCGCTGGCCGGTTCGCGACGGGACGTCGCCAGCGCCGAACGCCAGAGTGCAACAGGGATGGATGAAGGGGGTGGCGCAACGGAACTACTGTCTAACCGTTGCAAGAAACCACGCTTTGTCCTCCAGCATGGGGCATTCCATTGCGCGCCGTCCATCGCACCCGTGGTGCTTGGAAGAACGCCGCTTCAGACCATTCGTGCAACTGCGCTACCCAGCTTCGCAGTGTATGAAAGCCGCATCTCCGCAAGGTTGCTGCGTTGACGACTAGCTCTGATGCGTTTGCCACTACTCAGCCAATCGGAGCGCGTTGGATGGCAAACGAAAGACTATGTGCAGAGCGTTTTTTCTTTGTGCAGGTCTACGGCTGGCAATGAAAGCTGCAGGGCGCAATGGCTGAGCGCCGAAAGGGCAGTGCTGCTGCTCAGAAGCGGGCTGATACTAGACACCGACGACAGAGGATCAACTGCAGTCTCACTGGGTGGGAACCGCAATTTTGCCGGCCTCTCGGTGCTTCTGAAATCAGGAGAGACAGCTGTTAAAGCGGACAGACAGGGCTGCTCAAGCCTCGTAGCATCTGCACTTCCCCCGACCACCCCCCGTGGAGACGACGACGACGCCTCCGCCGCCAGTGGAAAAATGTCGGGTCCATCGCGGCGGCCCGCACTGAGCCTGAAAGTGGGCAGCCTTGCGACGCGCCTGAACGCCTGAACGCAAGTGGAACATAGATGGCCTTTCGCCCTGCAGCAGATCAAAGCTGCGAGGCTCATAGTACACTGATGCAAGCAAATTCAAATATTCAGACGGCGCGCAAAAAAGAAAGAGCACCTCCCCCTGCCAACCGCCGTCAAGACATGGAAGCACACCGGCTACATCGAACGCAAAGAAGACAGGCGCCTGCGTAACAGTTGTCTCGCGGGTGCTAGCCAAGCGGGCAGCTGCGTCTAGCTGGGGCAAATGATGTAGAAAATTCCTGCTTGGCACAAGTCCTAGCTGGGTTTGGTGAGCGCGCGCTCAGACCAGTCCTTTGATCCACTAGTTGGCCGCCGAAGGTTGGGATCTTAGCACCCGCGCTGCGCGTCAAAAGAGGGCGAGTCTGGTTTGGACTCCGCAGGCACTCATAGGCATCACTGGTCTCCCTCCCTTTGGGCAGGAAGGCGAAGATGGGATCATTCAGGGTCTCTGGAGCAAGGTGGCCCGCCACGGGGCGCCTCGGGAGTACCAGGTCCTCCGAGACCGCCCGCACCTGCCGTTGCCTTCCTCGTGGAGCACGTTGGGTTAATTAGGTGCACGGCAAACTCGCGGTTGGCCTGAAGCCCTGCAGCGTGTAGTGAACGAAATTGACGGCGGACAGAATCGAGTCCCCGACGCTGAACTTGTTCGTCTTGAAGGCGAAGATGCTTGGCACCCACGTCTGAACTGGCTGCGATGAGAGCTGCAAAATTTGTATATTGCCCTCCAGACAGCACGAGAAATACTGCTGGATGTGATATTGCGTACCCACCGGGCACGCTTGTCATTAGCACAAATGAAAGTCGCCGCAATTCATCTCGTGTGCGTTTGTCCACTACAGTCACTAGATATTTCAATTGCTGCCATCTGGTATCTGGAAAAAACATCGTCATCATCATCACATCCTCATCACCATGGACATGTTTCTATCATCGATGCCAACATTCATATCAACATCAACATCCCCATCATCACAACCAACACCGTCATCCTCCTCGTGAGCATCAGCAACAGCATCAACATCAACACCAGCATCGACATCATCATCAGCATCATAAGCAGCATCCGCATCGTCACCATCATAGCATCATCACCATCACCAGCGCAATCACCTCACCACCACCGTCACCATCATCAGCGCCATCACCAGCACACTCACTATCATCATCAGCATCATCATCATCATCGTCATAATCACCATCACAATCATCATCATCATCATCATCATCAGCAGCATCAGCATCAGCATCAACATAATCGTCATCATCATCACCACCATCACCATCACCATCACCACCACCACAACCATCACCATCACCATCACCATCACCATCACCATCACCATCACCACCATCACCACCATCATCACCATCATCCCCATCCCCATCCCCATCCCCATCTCCATCCCCATCCCCATCCCCATCACCGTCATCATCATCATCATCATCATCATCATCATCATCATCATCATCATCATCATCATCATCATCATCATCATCATCATCATCATCATCATCATCATCATCTGCGGCCACGTCCTCACCATTTCCGCCGCCGCCCCTCGGGTGTGCGGCGGGGATCCCCCAAGAGCACTTTTTAACTAAAATCTGGCAACTTGACTTGCCTGGCATTCCCTGCGCCCCTCCTCCGATGCTATTTCAAACAGAGCTGGTCCAAAAAGGCGTGCAAGTGGGTCCCGACTAGCGTGAAGGACAGACTTTGTTTTCAAGCCGCGCCACCCCTCCCTCCACGCAATTGAATTAAATCTACCATATCTAATATACAAAAAAACAGCCTCCAAAACAGTCCCTGGAAGACCTTCTGGGGGCTCCCGGGAGGCCCCCGAGCAGGCCTCAGGAGTACCCCGAAAAACCTTCAAAGGGCATCTACCCCACGATCCGGGAACGTTAGCTGGGTGGGCCGAAGGGCCACCAGACAATCCACCGCCCCCTATTGCCTTGTCACAAAGGTACACGGCATGCCGAATTCCTGGTGCGGTCTCCTAATGCGGCGGCCACCCGGAAGGATGCAAAAAGCGGGGAAAAACTAGAAAACTCGCCTCCAAGATGGCCAAAATGGTTCCAAGGTGGCCTCCAAGAAGCTTCCAATCCGGCTAAGATGGTCCCAAGAGAGCCTAAGAGGTCAAGATGGCGAAAAACGCCTCCAAGACGGCCAGACGGCAAAAATGACCCTAAGACGGCCTAATAGGCCCTCCAGACGGCCCAAGAGGCCCTCAAGACGCCCAAAGAGGGCTCCAAGAGGAGCTCCAGGAGGCCCAAATCAGTGAATTACCATCGGCTTTCCAATGACTAGAGCGTTCGGGCTTCCGACGCTTCAAGACGACCCCATAGTCCCCCAAGATCGGCCCATGACGGCCCAAGCGACTCCCACGAGGCCTGCAAGACAGCCCAAGAGGGCGCCAAGATGGCCCATTCCAAGAAGGCCCAAACTCGCCGAAGGAGGGACCCACGACTACCCAGAGTAGGCCAGAAGACGGTCTGCAACTCCAGGAAGCCTCCGAGAGGCCCCTCATAGGCCCCTCAGAGGCCTCCAGGAAGCCCCCAGGAGGCCCTCAAGAGGCCTCCTCATCTGCCTCTTTCTCCTCGTCTTCCTTTTTCCCCCCTCTCATTCTCCTCCTCCTCCCTCTTCCTCAGTGTTCCCTCAATTGGTTCCAGACGGCTGGGGGAACATATTGTGCAATAGCTTGGTCATGCTTCAGCCCCACGGTTGGCCGCGTTGGCGTTTCGAAGATGCAGGGGGCGGCCGGTGGTTCGGCGTTGGCGCCTTCGACTCAGTTAGCAGCTCCCCGCCCTGCCCCCCTTCCTCACTGACGGCCCAAAGGAACACGAACCGAAACTGTGAGAGGTCAACGCGGATTTATCGGGCCGACACGAGACACCCATCCCCAGGGCCCGGAGCACGCCAGGGGCGGCGCTGAATACGCCACCAGGGCGCGTTCTGGCGCCGACCGAGTAAGTCAGCGCGCAGACAGCGCGTGTGTCAAAGCGATTCGCATCCTCTCTCCTCTTGGCGGCAGTAAAACCTGTATGAAGTGAATACACGCCGACAGGTATAGTGCATATGTGTGCATGTATGTCTGCATATATGTATGTGTGTATGCATGCATGCATGCATGCATGCATGCATGTATGTAGGTGGGTAGGTAGGTAGGTATGCATGCATGTATGTGTAACTGTATGTTTGTATGTATGCATGTATGGATGGATGTATGGATGTTGTATGCATGCATGCATGTATGTATGGATGTGTGCACGCATGCATGCATGCATGCACGTATGTATGCATATGTGAATGTGTGCATGTATGTGTGTACGCACGTATGTGTGCATGTATGCATGTATGTGTGTATGTATGTATGTATGTATGTATGTATGTGTGCATGCATGTATGTGTGCATGAATTTGTGTTTATATGTATGTGTATGTGTATGCATGAATGTAAGTATGTAT